CGCTTGCATTTGGTGACCGTGAAAAAATTGGCAATTCATTTTATTTCAAAATTTTTGGTATGGTTTGATAGCCAGCTCTATAAGCTTTAATTTGACATAGGGGCTTAGGTATCTACAGCTTAAACCGGACGCGCTACATCGCTTGGACGCGAGACACCCCTGAAGGTATACGGTAACCTTAAGTGAATCTATTGCATTTATAATTCCAAAACCTTTCGAGAGGCATTTGAAACTGCCGCACAGATAAACGAAGAGCTAAAAAGCACGCAATTCGATGGTGCATTTTACAAAAAAATCAAACTTCTAATCGATAGATTTTCTTCATTTTTTCGCTAAACGTTAAAATTCGGTAGAGAAAATGATCCATCAAAAGAAAAGTAGCAGTCACCGAACGTGCAAGATCTTCAACCCAGGCAAAGCTATAGCAATGGCCATCTACCCTATCATTGTTCATTTTATTACTTAGCGCACGCTCGATGCAGGACGTGGCGTTTGAATTTTCGTGCGCAGTAAGGATGCGCAGAAACAATTAGCGCGAACGTCCTTAATTTACTAGGCTGTCGATCGAGGTTACAGAGTGTGCGAGGTTCCAAAATGACAATTTTTGAAATGATAACAGTTTCATAAGACGTGAGAATTGTGAACGCTTTTGTATTTATCGCGATTCGAGTGCGTTTGAACAACACCCACGCTTTCGGGCGTTGTGTATTTTTTTCGGGCATTAAGGTCACCGCCCCCACCCCCCGATACTTGAACTATTGATCCCATTCACCTCAGCTCTTAATACCCTTAGACCGGAGTGAATTTGATTGGCAATTCAAGTGCCTGGCAATCCAGACTACCATAAACAGAAATGGAGTTTGAACGGGAAGACTTAACTTGCAATCCGCTTCGTGTTCAACAGCAGATGCAGCCAATTCGGCCTGTTAAGTAATCATTATTCTGGTGTAAGATAATTCAAATACCAATTTTTAATGTGTTGTCTTAGTCCATTGTCAACCTGTCAACAGTACGAAACGATAAATTGCTCATCACATGCATTACTGAAACTGAACTGGCAGCTATCAAGCTTTTGTGCCATTCATGTTTGAAATGATAATGTAAGGAAAGCCGTACGTATCGCATAACGATGTTTTTTATTGCCCGCTTACCAAAATATAGCCAAGAACAGGAAGTAGTATTTATATCTCAAAAGGCGAACCTCGATTTTTAAATTGAATTTGGGTCAGTAAGCATGAAAGCGTGGGTGATCGTTCTCTTATCACTATTTATCTTTAACGCCCAAGTTGAATTTACGAGACTACATTAATGTTAACGACATTTTTTTGTGGCTTCATCACCAATACAGGGAAATTTTTCGCCCATTTATTTTGTTCTCAATTAACAATGATTTTATTTCTTAACTATCAATTTTATTAGGCGGTGCTATTCGAGGCCTTTTTTCGTTTTAAGTTGATAAACGAAAGTTGATACGGAACAGCTTGTATGTTCTATTGTATTTGTCTAATTGATGTACCGTCATGAAAACGCATCTCGTAGTTTCATGAAAGGTGGTTAAGCTCATTTTAATACAATACCTTTTCCATTCGTATATGATCTGTGCAGACAGATGATCTGTAATATAATATCGTTCATATCCGTAAGGTTAGTTCAATTAAAGGTAATGGACAGGCAATGTTAACGCGAAGCTATAGAGAAGGTATAAAAGCAAACTTGCAAATCAACATTGTCACATTTTCAACGTCCTTGGAATACATGATCGAGATAGACATCAGATACTGAGGAAGGAGTCGTTTTTCAAAACGACGAAAGAAAAAGATGTCACAAAATGTTAGCTTGGAACTACCCAGCAGCAACATGTCTGCAGTATTGGAATACCCCAAAGGTCACAACAGCACCGTTCAAGATTGCCTTGGGAGAGATTCCTCTATGGAAGTGTTTTTTAAAGTAGCGGCCTATTTTTTCATCCTAGTGGTCTCGTTGATGGGAAATCTCTTGGTTCTTATCGTTATTTATACCAACAGGCAGTTACGAACATCGATTAATTACTTTGTTTTCAACATGGCTGTATCCGACCTGTTCACCCCTTTGACCATCATGCCAGTCCGAATCGTTCAGATAATTTCAGGCTCTGATGCTTGGAAGGTTGATAGTCCGTGGATACTGGGAGTCATCTTGTGCAAACTTGCTTACTTTCTTCCTGACGTCTCTCTTGTTGTTTCCATCGAAAGCCTCCTGTTGATATCAATGGACAGGTTCGTCGCTGTTGTTTTCCCTTTAAGAGCCAAACTCATCACCGCAAAAGCACGTTTCATCTGTATCGGATGCACATGGATTACCGCCATTGCAGTTCATGCACCTTATTTTTACACTTTCAGATTATTTTCTGACAATGACAATGTAGCACATTGCAGTTCAACTTGGGCACCGGCTTTTGACCATGTAGAAACAACCAAGAGATTCATCACGGCAACTTTTATTACTTTCATCCTTCTCCCTATTTGTCTTCTGGCCATTGTGTATGTCACCATAGCGTGGAAGTTGAAAACGAATATCAAACGTACTGAGCTGGAACTATCATGTGTCCGACTCCATCGAGCTCGAAAGGTCAGAGACACCATTAGAATGTCAGTGGCGATAATAAGTGCTTTTCTCGTTTGCATGATACCACTGGTTGTGTACCTGTTCACATTAGTTTTTCTGTGGAATTGGAATGCCTCACCCATTTGTGCATTTCGAGATGTGATTCCATTCATTGCTCAATTTATGCTTCATTCTTGGAGCGCTGTAAATCCTTGCATATGTTTGACATGTATTAAGATGTACCGCAGTAGTCTTGGAAGAATTCTGCCGTTGAGAGAGACTGGCAAAGCGAACAGACAAACGGGAACCTCCCGTTGTTCCTTGAATCGAGCGACATCTGTCAGAGAGCATCGCTGAAACGTTGTTACGAGACGCAAGGAAAATAGATTCACGTTATCGCTATTAATAAATAGCCTAAAGATAAAAAAGTAATCAATTATAAGTGTTCAAGACAGTTCGTATTGTGTCCGCCTTAGCGTTCTTCCTTGCTTCAGTTGTTCATGGCCATATATATTTCCTAATCAAAATAAAAGGGAAATCCTGCTTTAACCAGCTACTTGGAAAACCCAGAAAAACTTGACTACTCGGTGAGATGTCATTTTGCGTCACAGCGTTAATTGCCTCCGTCGTTTAAGCAATGAACAGTGGTCTGTTCTGTTGAGCTATTTTCGATAAACTAGAGAGAAGCCATTACTTACAATGAAGAAAAAAGGACTGTCACACCGATACACAAGGCTTGTTGGCAGATGCTTACATAATGATGTCAAAATAACTACCTACGTAGTTTAGTTATAGCCCCCCGAGAGGTTGTTGACTTTTAAGTTTGTTTACTGAACGTGACATCAATATCTGCAATTTCGGGCAAAAATTCACTCTTACTAAAGCGACTCGCCTGTAGTTGGCATACGGATCATAAACATCCATAAGAAAGGCTCTGGCAGTCCTCAAGATTACTTCCCACCTTTGAGGGTGGAAAAAAATCAGTTAGATCGTAATATCATCTCCGTATATAAACAGTGTTCCCGAAGTGACAGAAGATGGTAGACCGTTGGTATAAATAGTGTAAAGAGCGACAGCCCTAGCACGGATTCCTGAGGAATACCAAAAGACACAGGTTGAGAATCGGACTGGGTTTCATTAATTAAGTACAGTGTATTGTAGCCCTGGATTGTTGCCAGTCACGGAACGTGCTGGTTATGCTAAAATATCAGCTGACTCGTACTCGGTCGCTATTTTACTGTTGAGATTGGATTGTTTCAAAGAAAAAGCGGGCTGAATCGAGTGGAGCGCGCGGGGAGTTATGAAAAGAGAAGAGAGTATTATTTTTCCTTTGACCTTTCCCATGATGCCTCGCGCACCCTAATCCACCCTAGTATCCAATCTTCTCTACCCCGAAAACATGTAAATAGTGACTGGGTACGAGTCTGCTAAAGTTGGGTTCAGTTTCCTCTTTATACATCGGAAGAAACTGTCGACCAAGCTTGTTCGATTTTATTAAGCTTTTATTAAGCTTCTATTTTCGACTGGACTGGCGATTGCATTTACATACAGAAAATCAAGATCAATATTTTAGGAATGAAAAAGAACAATTCGCCTTCAAAAAACCATTGTAACGTTTATTATTAGACATGAAACCAAAAATATAGAGCCATCTTGGCCGAACAAGCTTGGTCAACTAAAGTATATTTATGTGGCATAAATAAACAGCCAATAGTCCCGAGCGAGGAAGAAAGCGCTATCTTGCCCGCTCGGGTGGCTAATAACAGCTCAGGGTTTGGCTCATCTAGCACGCTCATGGAGCTTGCCATATAATAAATATCGTAAATGAATAGCCGGTATGAGATGAATATTGTATACCTTAAAATGAGGATGGACTGCACCTTTCGTGAAAGGATATTCAAATTCCTTCAAGAGATTAAAGTAACAAAAGAAATGTCGGTTACTCTGATAAAGAAAACACCTGCTAGTAATATGTTTGAAGTGATCTAACTCTAACTCTGAATCAATTTATTCGTATTAGTTCTTAATATATTCGTATTAGTTTTTAGTTAGGTATTCTCTCTGCTATATACTTTAAGACTTGATAAAGAAATTTCATTCATTCATTCATTCATTCGTCTGTCAACGGGAAGGTTAGCATGTTTCATCTTAGCCCAGCTATTTTTGCGCCAGACCACCAGCATGGAAGGATCTAAATATCTCCAGGCAAATGGCACGCTGAGTATATTCAGGATGTTATCGAAGGACGTCAAATACAAAAGATGAATAGCAACTTCGATTCAAACAACATTTTACGGTGCAAAAGCTTTTCAGAGGACAGAATGCCGAATTATCTGACAAAAAAAAAAAAACAGGTTAGGTGAAGTTCCACCTTAATTTTCCAAAAAGTCGAGGATATCAGAAAACAAAAAGAAGAACTATAAAACCCAAGCAAAATAATATGATATATAAATAGAGAAGATCAAAACGGAAAGTCAGTGAAACAAATATATATTAAAATCTTAGGGTGTGTGACGCCAAAAAAAAAAACAAAAAACAAAAAAACAATGGCACTGTCTACAAATTAAAGGGTTATGTGTCTTCTGGTATAAATCCCTTTCATTCAAGTTGATTGCTTACGTAAGTCAGATTTAAAATGATCTACATGCAAATGATGCTTCTTTGTGTCATAAAGAGGCAGATAAGCCTTCTTTAATCAGCATAAAACAAACGCCGAGAGAAAGAGTATCGTTCATCAACTTTCACAAGACAAAAGACCAACATGTTTCCTAATTCTAGCTTAGAAATGCCAAACAGGAATAGTGCTGATCATAACAACACCAATCAAGACTGCCTCGCAAGAGAGTCGACTACGCAAGCCGAAATTGTTTTCAAAGCTCTGGCTTATTTCATCATTCTCCTGGTTTCTTTAGTTGGAAATCTCTTGATTTTATCAATAACTTACAGAAACAAGCAGTTGAGAAAGTCGATCAACTTCTTTGTTTTCAACATGGCCGTGTCCGACCTGTTCAACCCGTTGACCATCATGCCTATCCAAATCGTTCACATCATTTCAGGTTCTGATTCTTGGAATGTCGACAATCCGCGGATGCTGGGAAACATTTTGTGCAAACTTTGCTACTTTCTTCCTGATGTTTCTCTCATTGTTTCTATCGAAAGCCTCCTGTTGATATCAATGGACAGGTTCGTCGCTGCTATCTTCCCACTTTGTACCAAACTCGAGTCATTGAAAGCGCGCTCAATCAGCATTCTGTGTATATGGATCGTCGCCATTGCAGTCCATGCACCTTATTTTTACACTTTTAGTCTGAAAGTAAACCCGCGTGACAATAAAACATATTGCAAGTCATCTTGGCGCCCGGCATTTGACCATGTGGAGACAAACAAGAGATTTGTAACGGCAACTTTCATTACTTTTATCCTGGTGCCCATCTGTGTCTTTGCTATCGTTTATGGCACTATTGCACGTGTTTTGAAAAAGAAAAACACGCAACTTAAGCAGCAGCTATCTTATCGCCAACGCTATCAAGAACACCAGCTTAGAAAAATTGTACGAATGTCTGTGGCTTTAATAATCTCATTCATTGTTTGTTTGATTCCACAGCTTTCTTTCTTGTTCGCTCGAATTTTTTTGTGGAATTGGGAAGAACCAGCCATTTGTAGTTTTCGCACGGTTATTCCCTTCATAGCAATGTTTATGATGCACTCCTGGAGTGCTGTGAATCCTTGCGTCTGTTTAATATCTAATAAGATCTATTTCAACAGTTTTAGAAAAATTCTGCATTTATCTAAATAACCTGGCGTTACTTAACAAGAAGAAAAAAGCGAGACGAAAAATGGTCTTTTTCATGTTCCTTTACCCGAATGGCGACACCTGGAAAAAAATCATTTTCAAATTAAAGGATATTTCTCATGGATTTGAAATTTAAATTTTAAATGGAATATAATTACTTCCTTCTCTTGACATACGCTCATCTTTTGATAAAATCGTTCGGTGAATAAAAGGTAATTTAATTTATCGATCATATCAAGTTTAATTTTCAGCTCAAAGGATTCACCTTTAAGGAGAACTGACCAACTTCCGTGATGCATCACATCCAAAGTTGAAGAGATCGGGAGCTAATTTTCACATAACTCTTTACTAGTAAAATAAATCAAATAACAGCTCTAAACCAAACAGTTTTTTCACTGATTATTGTTTTCAGAATTCCAGAATCTGACCGCAGGGCCTCTTTCTGCGATTGGTAAAAAACTATACTAAGGGCCTCCTCTTGCGTACTTTGCCTTAACACGTACTCTTATCATGTCATAAAGCTTGCTTATTAATTAAAAAAGAAAAAAGCCGCGGTGTCTTAATTTTTGCGATTTTGCTAACAGCATGAATAAAAGGTGTCAAAAAAAATGAATTAATGACACAAAAACTAATGTCACTTGTCGCTATTATGGATCGTGCGCCTTCTCCTTGCCTTTCGTGTTGATGCGCTCTTTCTTCTAATCATACAACAGAAACAAAGTACAATTCCTCAATGTTGATCATTGTAGTAGAGATCAGAGTTATGCTCTGTCGCAGAAAACCATGTTAACTGTTTTAAATTCTGTTTTGTTGTGGTTTTCAGTGTCTAAGTCACTGTATTATGTGGCATGTAAAAATTAAAATCTGTAGCTTGGATTCGTAGACCATCTGCCTGTTAATGCCGGTCAGATTGTTTAAAAACGAAATCGCAAAATTTAGTTCCTTCTCCAGGATTCCGAGTCCACTTCCGCGAAATTACGTTTATGAAAAAAAAAAACAAAAAAACAAAAAAAACTATGAAGTAGCTAATTTCAAAATACTTAAACCAAACTAATTAACAAAAAATTTTGACAATGCGACACTGCAGCAATGCGACAAACAAATTCGACAGTGTGACATTGCAGCAATGCGACAAACAAATTTGACAATGCGACATAGTCGCAACCAGCTCGAGTGAAAGTGCAAGTCAATCGCTACCCCATATGAAAACAGTAACTCGCCCAAATTTCCGGAGATGCGATACACAAATGCAAACTGAAAGGAGGACAAGCGCTAATCAAACCAAAAAAGACGTGCAGCATATGTCAAAACTGACCTACCTGAAGGTGATACGTGTAATTTAAACAGAAACGTCCGGTAACAGGCAAACGCTATCGCCCAAATTTAGTATGAAGCGACACCAGCCACCTTAAAATGGTAACTTGATTTAAAATGCCACTAGCGAAGGCCACAGAGAAAAGCTAAAACTAACGGTTCAGACGGGGGTGCTCTGCACCATTCTTCAAGAAATCTTGAAGAATTGTTAACAAAGACGGTGGCATTAGCTGAATTGTGAAAATTTTAGGTAGATCTGATTGATTTATTTAGGTCAATGCAGTGGAGGAGTAAAAAGAGTGTCTGTCAGGGGCTGCTGATATCTCAGTTATCGGTTTCTTTTTTGACATTTTCTCAGCTATGAGTTAAAATATTAACCAGATTGCATTAACGAGGTTGCGTGAATTTTGAGAAGTCATAATCAGAGACCAATGTCACCAGGAAGTTCACATTGCATTTAATTCTGTCGGCTGTCTGAGAAAAAAAACAATCATTATGAGATTATTTACCAGAACAACAATACAAGTCAAACACTACTTTAAATAAAGTCACGATTGCTTCCTTTTGTAACTTTGCATTTGCTACGTATACTCGACAAAGTTTTTGAAATTTTGAGATTGTGTTTTTTAAACATTATACACAGTTCTGAGAGCTGAGGTCATTTTTGTGAAGCCTTAACACGTTTGTTCGGAAACTTTTGAGACGCCTTATAGGAAATCTTGACATTTGTAGATGTCGTTTTGAAATTCTCTTACAGGGATATTTTCGAAATTTTGTAGAAGCTCGTAGACGTTGTTTGGAATTTGTTGGTGTGGGTTTTAAAGTTTATTCATGTCTTTTTAGATCTGTAGGAACTTATTTGAAATTATAAGTTCGCTCATTTGAGAAATTTGTTTTTAGATGTGTAGGCAACTTTTTGGGAACGCCTGTTTTGAAATTTGGTGGACGCATCTTTTGAAGTCTTGCACACAGCTTTTCAAATTTTGTAAACTGTTTTTTTGAATTTGATAGCTGCCTTTTCTAAATGATTAACACGTTCTTTCCCATGGAAACTGTACCTTTGGCAAAATCTCTACCAAGAAAGAACCAATCGGAACGCCTAGATTTACCTTAAGACTACCTTGCCATATACTAAATTGCCCAATAAGTAATAGTAATTGGACTGAATGGAGTACAATTCAGGGAGTAATCGCGCAAGTAATTTCAAAATCGGACGAGCGCGAAGCGCGAGGCCCATTTGAAATTACGAGCACGATTACTCCCTGAATTGTACGACACTAGGTCCAATTACTAATTAATCGTTTCTATAACGAATGTCGGAATTAAAAATGTCTTTTGGGAACTTCTTTTGAACCAAAACGTCTGTAGCGCTTTTCATAAGTTTTAAAAACTTAAGGAAACATTGCGAAGGAAGCCATTAAGGCGCGCGTAATTGACGTGCGAATCACGTGGGTATCCAATTACAAAAAGTTCAAATTGGATACCCATAATTGGACACCCACGTGATCGCGCACCGATTACGTGGCAAATAGCCGCGCGGAGAACCAATCACGATCGAGAATTTTTTTATAGATACGATTATGGTTAAAATGCTAAAAGTTACTGCGGGAAACATTTCTGTATAACACTTTTTATCGTTATTTATAACATAACTAAGCAAAGCGCGCGCTCTGATTGGTTAATTTAGCGTCTACTATTTGCCCATGGGTGTATGCTGCTGACGTGTGTGCTAATGTTTACCAAGCAAATTTTTTGACAGACATTGTTTCCAAAGTAATGGCCGACGTCCTTCTCTTAGAAATGCGAAACTGTCTTCACAGTTGTGTGAAGATGAAACTTTATTGAGTTACTGGTGTGCAGTCGGTCGTCATGAATGGATTTTCGCGCGCTTGTTTTCTCTTTTCATGTAAGACTACACGAACATTTTTTTGTGATGTAGCTCAATAAAAGGACTTCTGTTGTTCCAATGTCTCAATGTTATGTT